ATCCGTGTATGCCAGCTCTGCGAAGGGTAATTTAGATAATCGCTTGATCCACTGAAATCTGTGGGACCCACCACAAAATGCACTTCTCTTTCTGGCCTAGCAATAAAAATGATCTCTCTTTGAACTCTAGTTTCTTGGAGTAAAATTAGTTTTGCTGATTATTTAGTACATTAATTTGCTGCCTCTGGACACATGAAAAAATAAGCAGGCTATTCATTTTTTGTTGCTGCATCATGGCTCAGGAAAGATAAAAAGGAATGATCAGTAGCTCAGAACAGTGATTTGGAGCAGTCCAGGCTGCCATGTAAAAAAACCCAAGTACTTCCCTGCAGAACTCTAACTGACTGGCTCTTGGCAAGGCAGATTGCAGAACATCATCTTGCATTTACTACTGCAGAACTATATGAAGTAAAGACTAAACACAAAAGGTCCTAGCGGACTTTCCACGAAAATAATGAGAACCTTTCTAGGCCTTTAGGTATGATTGCACGAACTGTTGTCAGTGCCCTTCTGACTTGCACCTAGTCCTTGATGAGACTTTTATCACATTTAAAAAATGTTTCAAAAGTGCACTGTAATGGGATGCTCCCAATGTCTTGAAGGATTAATGTGAATCCCAGCTGTTTGGGGAAAAGTAATGTCTAACACAATGTAAGTAATCTGGCAGGTGAGATACACAACATTTGCATCTATGTCACCACACAGCAAAACCTTATAAAGGTTTCTTTCTAGTCAAAGCATTAATTAAGAACTGTAGTGCAGCATCCTCTTGTGGAAGTAACTTCCAGCCCTAAGTTGTGCTCCTGTTATCAAACACTGGCAGTTTCAATAGCGATAGTGTCTTGATCCTTCAACGAGCTTTACATGTGAGGATTGGTAAAGATGTAACACAGTCTGTCCTCGGGGATCTCATTGCTGTATTGTTGGCTTGTCTCTTTCTATATTGACTCGTGCGTGTGCCCTTGTAAAGCATTGTGTAGGAAAAACCGCAGTTCAGTCTTCCCTTGTAAATCGGATGAAAAGAAGTTAATGTAACTTTTTTAAACCTGCTCAACGTTTATTTGTGATGAGCAGCAGAAAACATTAAGACCAAGTCAGACTGAGTTCATATTAGTGACTTAGTTAATTCCTGTTTTATTTGTTTCAGCAAACTGTACAACAACCTGTTTCAATGGAGGAACGTGTTTCTATCTAGGAAAATGCATTTGTCCTTCGGGCTATGAAGGAGACCAATGTGAAATTAGTGAGTAGCATCTCCATGTGCTTGCTTTCACTTATGTCAGCTGCTTCTAGTGTCAGTGTCTGAACGCTGACGTGCAACCTGCCTCTGCTGGGCTCCCAGCGAGGGTCTCGCACGGCAGGTCAGGACCCTCAGAGAGTCAGATGCCACAGGCTCCCAAATGAGTTTCCTACTGAGAAGTTTGACTCATTGCTAGACCATCTCATCCCCTACCTTGTTTGGTTTTTACTAGTAACTGGGCTTGGTAACAACCCTCAAGCCCTAAGTGTGCAAGCGATACTCTATGGCAGACAGACAGGCTGCTGTGCCAAGCCTACGTGGAGCAGCTATTTTCAAACCTGAGGGCAATTTGCACTTGGGCACAGCAGATTAGGTTTGAGCCCTCACCTCTGAAAGGGCTGCTCTAAGTTGGGAATGAAAGGGTTTGGGGCAAAGGGAGGACTGAACCGTAAGAGCTGAGAGATTTCATGTAACATATTAAGTTGCATTCACATGGCAACTTGAAAATCCGTGTCACAAACATCAAAAGACTTGCTATTTTCAGAAGTTTAGCATCAAAGCAATTCAAAATATTTTACCTCATGGTTGATCTAAGTGTGCTGAGTAAAGCTGGGGGTGGAGATATGGCTAGGCTGGAACAGACCTGGGAGGTCAGCTGTCAAGTATTTGATCTCACTAAAAGAAGAGTTTTCTCACAGCCCTGTTAAATCGGATTAATTCTATAGTTCCCCACACTTGAATAGAGTATGAGCATTTCGGTTTTGAGAATGTACACCCAGGTCATTCTTTCTGGGCTTAAAGCTTCTAACAAGATGCTGTGCAAGGAGCTTCCCCTGCTGTAAGTGATCTCATCGGTGTTGCCCAGCACCTTCGCAGGAGCACGGAGAACAGCATTTGGCCTGGGATACGTAAGAGCTGATTTCTTAGTATGCATCAGTAGAGACAGGCTCTCCTCACAGTTACCAAATTTGGAAACACATGGAAATAAACTCTAACATGCTGTCAGCCAATACAGCACAATAAATGAATTACTGTGCAAAGGAAAAACACAGATGCTGAAAGACCTACGTTTTGCTCAGTATTTACATGTAAATAAACAGTAGATGTATGTAAATGTTTCACCATGTCTGTATGCATGACAAGGCATTTTGCAACTCCTTTTTACCTCATCAAAACTTGAGCCAAACGGAAGTGGCAAAGTTTTATTGTTATTAAATTAATAAAGATTGCCCTTTGATATAAATTCAGATCAGATGTCAGCAAGAAGAACAGTGTGAATTTCCACTGAATTTACCTTTGCTTACACCAAATTTGACACTGGCAGAAAGACTTTTCTGTCTTCAATCCCCAAGTAGTCAACTTTGTTGATACTTCTCAGATGATGAATAAGGTTCAGTTCAAAGTTTGAGAAGCATGTATTTTATATCAGTGGTGGTTTTTTGAGAAGAATTCTTAGAACTGATGCTACAGCCTGTGTAATTAAGGGTAATCCATTTAATTGATCTGTCCAAGGGGCTCAGACTCATTGTTGTCTACTGCTGCTCAGGATAGGTGCAGCTGACTTTGGCTTCTTGCAAAGGCTTACCTGTGCAACTCAAATTAAATTAATTAAAATACAAAATTTTCAGGGTGACAGTATGCTAAGAGCTAAACCGGGATCACTGGGATCAATGAGAGCAAGGAAAGCTGTGCACTTGCCTTGGCTTTTGTAAAGCTGGGATGGCAACTGTTAGACGGTGATTGATGGCTGTTACCACCCCTGGGCACTGCACCAGTGCCAGCACGACAGTAGAAGACTGCAAGAAATGCTAGGCGAGGCTTAGAAACACCAGAAGAGAAACACAACTAAGTCTCGTCTCTTAGATCCAGGGCCAGCTACATTCAGTCATGGGGGTCTTGAAATAACAAGGGGAGAAAAGCTTTCAACAGGCAGAAAGCCATCCTCTGAAAACTGCAAAGTTGTTCTTTTTTTTTTTTTTTTAATATTGTTTATAGATTTTGAGTGCTTGTCTAATAGTTGAATCGCTCTGTAAGACTCCTGGGAAATGTACTGGACCCAGTCTACAATACTAACAAGCATTCACAGTCTTCCAGATTTTTTCTAGCTATAGTTATGCATTGTCTCTAATTAGTGTTTCAGTTCAAGTCCAGAGAGTTTTGTTTTGGATTTCTCCCCCATTTGTCACCAACTGTTTTGTTGCTTTTTCCATTTCTCAGTCAATAAGAGAGAGAGTTATTACTCTTTCCTTCATTCTGTGAAAATATCTTAGTCCAAAGTTAATTGAGCTGTACTGAGCCAAATGCTTGCCTAATGCAGCTCTGTGGAAGTCAGTATCACACCCTTTGACCCGTATTCTCCAAATTTACTCCAAGAACTAGGAAAATTCATGGGTTTCCTCAGCATTGCTCCTTTCGGTCATTAATTACTTGGAATCCAAATGCTTGCAAATTAGAATACCTACATGTTCCCTCTCCAGAGGCTCCTGCAGGGAAATTGTGCTTTTGCAGAAACGCTCCTTAGCACGGTTTGTTCCATCGGCTGGTTATGAAGCTTGTTTCAGGGCTATTAAAATAATTATGCACATTAGGAACAAATGTTTCTTTTATATTGAGGATACACACATGGATGACAGAAGTCTGCCGGGGTTGAGAGCTGAGCAGGCGTTGCCTGGGGTGTTGAGCTCCCAAGGGGACAGCCTGTGATGGTGAGATGGGTGCGTTTCCCGAGGTTTTCAGCACAGCGAGTCAGTGTTGATTCTTAAATTATCATGTGCAGGTCTCAGTTAACATCCTTTTTTTTGAAAAAATAAGGAAAGGAAAGGAAGCAGTTTGCTGCCTCAGGTTCCAGTTTTTGTTTGCTCACGGATTCAGGTAAATATTAGTGCTAAATCTAGGGAGGGCTTTTTTTTTTTTTTTCCCCTCTTTTCTGAAGAATCTAGAGAATGTTGTGGGATAAGAAAAGATGAAAAAAGTTTTTGGACAACAGGGAGAAAAGCTGCACTGGTAGATATAGCTGCCGAGGAGGGAAGGGACTGAGGGTGTAGTTTTTGGTGGCCCGAGGGTGCTCAGGGACATGGCGGTGAGCTTCACTTGGCCTGGGGGTGACCTGGCTCGTGGGCGCTGTCCTCACCCTTCCTACAGACAAATGAAGATTTAATTAGTTCAATAATGCAGATAAATTCTAGCAAGGGATTGACTGACAGTCTGGTGATGGGAGACTTGACGTTAAGTTTGAGGAAGGCCCTGGGTGTGAGTCAGGCCCAGCAGGAGCTTGAGTGTGGATCTCCTCCACCAACGTGGACCTCCTCCATCCCAGGGCCAAACCAACAACACCGTCAGACCCAGGCCTCTTCCTTTGGCAAAGCGTGAATGCGAGTGAAAGTAATTCCCGGACCAAAAGCCTTGAAAAATGTCTGCCAGTTCTAATTACTGTTACCAAAGATGCGCTGTTCTTTGCAAAGAGGGAAGAAGGACATGCTTTTTTAATGCGCCTTTAGTTTCTGAGCTGTGGTGTGGAACGGCCCTCCCTGCACCGTCCGCAGCGTCGTGGGCCTCCACAGCCCGCTCTTGCAAGCTGACAGACCCAGCCGATCTATTTATTGTCTGCAAGTAGCGGCCATGCCTGTCGGTTCCCGAGCATCCTATTGCTCAAAATCTCTCTCGGATGCCAGCAGGTTTTCTTCTGCTCGTGCCCCTGGGGTATGGATCCCACTTTTTGCAAACATGAGTCTGAACAGTGCTGTCTCCCCCACGAAGGGTGAGGAGAGCGGGAGGCCATACCGACCAGTTACACGGGGGACTCTGCGGAGTCCGAGGGGCACAAATCCTGGCAAAAGCTGCATGGAGACACCGGCTTTGGCCATGCCACATTATTGTCGTATTTTCAAAGCAGAAGGATGCATATAAATTGGGAGCACAGACTTGCAGCACTGCCTTCCTAATGGATCCATAGTGCACACTCTTACACCAGCGTCCGACAAGATTTTTGGGTACAAGGCAGGCTTCTCAGACGCTTTGTCTCCGGTAGGTGTAGAGTCCTAAGACCACTGTTTTCGTGTTTTCAATTTCTAGGTAAATGCCATCAGCCCTGTCGAAATGGAGGCAAATGTACTGGTAAGAATAAATGCAAGTGCTCCAAAGGCTACCAGGGAGACCTCTGTTCAAAGCGTAAGTACCAAAGCCGCTCCATCAGTCCTTGTTGTAGGAACACCACCGGGCTGTACAGTATCTTTTTACATAATGTCAGCACTAATTGTTGTCAGAGTATTTCAAGTTAATTTACTTTCTGGACATACAGCGTACACCAGACTTATGGGAATTATGAAACTCGAAACATTTTTTTACAAAAGCCTCCCCGCAGTCTCTTCTGTACTCTGAGTTTCTATAAAACATCAACGTGTCAGCTCAGTAATAACAGTTTCGTAATGGAGAAATTCTTAATAAAATGTCAATACATTGCAACGTTAAAATCCAATGGGAGCACTTTGTGAGAGGGGTGCTGGGGGCTGCCCTCCTTATTCTGCTGGTTCTGGTGGATGCTCAGCTCCGCTGTTCAGTCTGCTTCTTTCTGCCAGAGACCGAGCCAGACCTTGCTGGTGAAGGGGGGGTGAACGGTTTCGGGGCTCTGCACACACTCAGTGCAAAGGCACAGATCTACTGTGAGAGCCCCAGCCCGTGCCAGGACCAGTTCATCGTGAAGAACAGCAGGGAAAGCAAATATGCAACTCTGTCTGTGGATGAGAGGTGAAGAGCTCAGGTGTATGTGTTCGCTTTCTTACAGCTGTCTGCGAACCCGGCTGTGGTCTGTACGGCACCTGTGCGGAGCCCAACAAATGCCAGTGCAAAGAAGGCTGGCACGGGAGACATTGCAATAAAAGTAAGTGAGAAACAAACCCTGAGAGTCCGTATCGGGGATCTTACACATCCGATGCTATACGAAATGACTGCTTCAGGGGCCTTTCCAGTATCATTAATGATACTGCACTCCATTGTTTCTAATCTTTAATCCAAACAATAAAACGAAGATTTTTGATGCTCCATAATTTTAACTACTTAAAAAAAAAAAAAACCAGAATCATTTGAAAGTGTTTTACCAAGATCACCCTTGTATTAGAAATTCCAGAATCTGGTGTCAACCAGATTTCTAGATGACCTTGCATGTCTTCCACCCATAGTATGGAAGGGATCTAAAGTCCTTCAGTACTCCTCAGTAATGTCAGCTAGCTTTAAAATGTTGGATAGGCATTTTTAGAAATAAAACTCTGTCAGGTTTTAAAGCTGATTAAAACTTAGAAAAAATGAAATGTCCTTTAGAAACTTTGGGGAAAACTTGAAGAGGTATGCACGATCTATGCTTACTGACTTCAGAGTTTTCTCCTCCTCTTCCCACCCATGCTCCACAGACTACAAAATATATTGTCCCAAAGCAAAGTTAAAGTCCTCAAAATGAATTTCTGTTGTGCTTATTGGTCCATCTGACACCTATTGAAGCAACTGATCATTTCACTGGATTTAAAATAGCACTATAAAATTATTTGAAATACAATTGGAGATATCCCGTAAGAACTTCAGATTCTGTAAGAGAAGGTCTTCAAGAGACATTCTGTACATCCTCCCATAAGGTATTAATGTTTATCACTGTTAGCTAACGATTCACATTTAGTGTTTTAAGTGTCAATACATAAAAAGTTGAAAAATTTCTCAGCTATAAAACCCACCAATTTCCGTAAGAAATGTGAATCTTATGTTGCAACATCAACTGAATGTTTGTTTTTATTAAATGCTGTTAATGCCTGTGATTTGTAGCACATTAAAATGTATTAGAATAAATATAGTTGTTTAAAAATGAGTATTATCTAACTGAAAAGGATTTTGCTATGAAAATTAGGTTTGGGGAGTCCACTTTTCCTCTGTTAGTTAGTGGACCTGTGTTTCAGTATTCATGCCATTCTCTGAAAGAAAAATGCCATTAATATAAGCTATGGCTACAAAAAAGGTACAGGGAAATGAACCAATATGAACTTCAATTCGTAAGTTCAATATGAACGTTTTCTTCCTGTCATGCTCTTCTTATAAGGAACTCAGATAGCAAGTGAAAAAAAAATACGTCCTATGGGTGACCATCCCCAAAGAAGTAATTATCTGTACAACAAAACCAAAACTCATAACTGCCTTGTTATGAGGAGTCAATAGTCACGCGTTATTGCCAGCTCCAAGATTTTCCAACCTTCATTCCTTGGAGTTTGGGTACAGTCCTGCTGTGTTTAGCACTGCAAAATGCTCTTTGTATTCAGCAAAGAAACTGAGAATAGGCCATGTGGGTAAAATTTTAAGTGCCCAGGTAGGGCTTAAATTGCACATACAAGTGCATGCACTGCAATTAACTCTTTTCAGAAAAAACCAAACGTCTCCTGATTTTGAGAGGTGATTTATAGTTAATTTGAGAGACTTGCTTCATACTCTCTTAAATGAATGGCTCCTCGGTAAAGCTGTTTTCTTAAAAAGAAGTGGTTAAAAAAATTGAACGGGAGAACTCAGTTTTTCAAAGACATTTCCATGAGATTTAAGTAATGAGATGGGTAAATGAAACTATAAATAATTACAGCATAATACTTTGAATTCCATTTTTAGTGTTTGTTTTCATTTTCCACAACAAAACAGCTCTGCTAAGCCTGTTTCAGACTACTTTCCCCCCCTCCCCAGGTGTTTATTGTCGCTGCTGTTCTTTCTCTTTGCATTCAGCCATAAAGCAAAGCCAAGCTCAGGTAGCTGGCGCAGATTCTTCCCCGGGGGGGATGCTTCCACCCCTCTTTAGAGCCCGTCTCCGGCGGATAGGCATGACTGTCACCCACCTGGCGTGGGCTGTGCATGCGTGACCCCAGCCTGGACATGCTGATGGTCCCCTGGGCTCCCCGGCAAGGCGAGAGCATCTTTCCCTCTGGCAGCACCTCGTCCATCCTGGGGGGCACAGAGAGGGGCGAGCGCTTGCGTAAGGCATAGCAAAATCCTTTGTTCAAAAGAGGGAGACTGTTTCCACTTGAAATATTAGCCGTGGATCGTGAGCCCGCTTCTGTGGTTTCTTTTTTCTTGATCTGGATAATTTTCCAGGGTACGGAGCCAGCGGTCTGAGCGCCCTGGGGCCAGCAGGCAGCAAGCACAGGCAGCACACGTCTTCACCGAAAAGGGCCAAGGAGAGGCATGTTCCACCCGAATCCAATTATATCTGGTGAACTCCAACATCTGAAACGGTTCGTGTTACACAAAGTTCATAGCCTTCATTAACCTCTCATGGGTTGAATGTTAAAATGCTGTTCATTACAGTTAAGATTACCGGCTGGAATTTTATTAGCTTCATTATAAACCACTGAGCTGATATTTACTATTCCTTTTAAGTTTTATAAATACTTCTATAGCATGATTATATAGGCTTCTTCTTTCAGTGCTTTGGATGGTGTTTTGTACTATACTTCTGTTATGTTTAAACTTCCTTTTTTGATTATATAGCTGCAAATATTTTCCAAAAATTAAGCAAGTAACAATATTCAAGCAGAAAAACCTCATAGATGCTACCCTGAATCATTTCAATGACTACAGATTCAATTTGCCTAAGACAAAAGAAAGGTGCCTTTTACATTTTTGCTATTGTGTATTTAGACTTTTCCCTCAGAGAAATAAATAAAATAAATAAGCTGCCTAACTTAAAAACTGAATAACTCAATTCAATGTTTTTTTTGGCCTTACAGTTTTGCAAAGTACTGTGTATTAAAAATACACTGCAGTGGTGCCATTTAACCAACGTAATATATTGTAAACAAAGTAGAACTGTAACGTGTGAACTTTCTGCATCAGCTTGAAGCAATATAATATATTGTAAACAAAACAGCTCTTATGTAATAAACTTTTTATACTGACAGTTATGTATAAAATAAAGATGCTGCTTTAGTTTTTCGAGTACTGCTGTGTGTGGCCTGCTGCGGTCTCATCGGCGCTGGGCTGGGACGGTGGCTTTTCTAGAGCACCCTCATAAAACAGGGGCACGGTGGGGTTGGTTTCCCCAACTCCGCTTTTATCCCCACAACTCTTAAAAATATTTCAGAAGAGCAACTTCTTCTTATGCATTTCCAAAGGAGAGGATGGCACCAAAGGCCAGGTGTTTCTCTCCCTGTATTTGCCCTCCTCCACCTTCTCTGTTCCCTCCCCGGCTCTGCCAGCCAGCCATGCCAAGCTGGTGTGCCCTGTTCGTGGTGACTGCGGTACCGGGGATATTCTTCTCAGAGCCTCTGTCCAAGCAGGTACCCGTCCAGCCCCGGCGATGTTTGCTGTTCAAGGGTGATGCTCCCGGGTCACGTTGTGTTCAGACTGTAAATGGTTGGGGGGCTGCCTCATGCGACAGTAGGGGGCCACACGGTTTGTAATGTGCTGTGGCTGGGAAGCAATGAAAATGGTTTCTGTCTGCGCTGAAGAACAGCATCCTCTTCAACAAAGGGTTACTGACCCTTGCTGTACTGCCGTTCTGGGAACCTTATTATCTGGGAGGTAAATAAAAAAGATAAATAAATAACACGTAGTTTGAGGCATCAAATTAATCTTAATGAGTGAGATGTTTTGAGTTGCAAAGGAAAAAGTCTAGTTTATAAACCTGACCTTGCTGGTCTTACTTAGTCAGTGGACCTGCAGGCCAAGTAAAAAAACTTGCTTAGGCCAGAGACAGGGAGAACTCTCTTAAGGATGCATTTTTACGTTGTCCTTCGTGCGGTGGGACTGTAGATACTGCCAAGAGACCAAGCCCCCATCGCCACGCATGGCTGCAGCCCTCCAGGTCTGGTGCAGGGGAAGGAGGAGCAGGGCCAGGCCAGCCCCCTCGTTGCACCCAGGGAAATAACAAGAAACAGCCTGAACAAGGTGGTTTGGCCGCTTGCCTGATATCCTTCTCCGAGACGGCAGTAAAACAGCTCAGGTTTGCTGAAGAAGGAGCTTTCTTAGCATGGATGTGTAACAACCGTGGCTGGTGGGCTTCAAAGCTGGTGGTCCCCCAGCCCACAGGCTGGTGTCTCCCGTGGGACCTCTGGCACCTCCCTGACTGCTGGGGGACTTGGGGGGAGCTTGGGGCACGGGGTCCTCGGGTAGAAAAATACCAACTGCTGGTGTGAGCTGGGCTTTTCCCTTCCCTGGGGCCAGCGAAGGAGGCTGTGGGGTGGGAGAGGAGCTCAGCCTCTGCCCTCAGTGCTCTCCCAAAAACATGCTCTTCAAATCGAAAGAGGATGGAAAACAGGGAGGCTGAGGCACAGGAGAAGACACTTGGGTGATGAAGACCCAGGGGAGGTATTGAGGAAGGAAACATTTTTTGGAGATTTTTCTTTAAAAGAGATGAAAGAAGGAGATTAATATTAGGCTGAGGTGAAATGTGTAGCTGCTCTGTATCTCCAGGGATGCCCCTGGAGCTGGGTATAAACGTGGATGTCACATTGGCTAGCTTTTTGTTCTTTCTGCAGCAAAGATGGGCTTAAGTGGTTGGTCACACGCTACAGTAAAAAGCACAGAAGTTTCTTACTTGAAATTCCTCAGATATTTTGGCTGAACTTTTTCTGCTTCTGTCAGTTTCTTAGAAAGTGCTTCCTTAAAAACAGCAAGTGTATGCTTTTACACGGAGTAATTTATTTTGCTGCTTGTTCCAAAGGCACTAAATGCTGCTGCTTTGTTTTCAGAGTTTCACCACTGATTTTTGGAAAGATCATTAATCATAAGAAGAATATGGTCGGAAAGGTTACGAAAGGAAAAAGCATTCCTCAAAGCGCACACTGTAACACAACCCTTTTTCTTAAATAACATCATCTTTCTGCACGCAAATTTTCCGCCACTTTTTGCCTTTAATGCCAGCGTAAACCCAAAGTTTCCTGTGTAGAGGCAGTCCCCCATGTCAGAGAAGTTTTAAGTCAAAGTCTGTGATATCTGACAATGCTAAAGGAAGACATTAATTCCTCAGGAAAAAGTCCAGTAGAAAGTGGGAAGCAATTTTGCCATTAGTCAATAAACTACAGAATTTATCATGTCCTCTCACTGGACAGGACGTGTGTATGGAAAAAACAAATGTATGTGCCATAGATGAAAATCAGTTAAAGAAAAATATCAAGAAAAGTCAAAATACCAATCTAGTACAATAGGTCAGACAGGAACTGCCTTTTCAACATTTGGAAAGTTTGTAGTTAGCCAGAACGCGATGCCAAACGTTGCAGTTGTGAGCAGCCGTTATGAGATGATCAAAACTACTAGAAGAACATAAAATGTTAAATCATTATAGCTTTATCCCAGAAATCCCAACTTAAGCAACTGACAAAATGATAACTTCACAAAGTGCTTCTAAGAGGGCTCGATAATTTAGATATCTAATATTGACATCCTGCTACATCCAGGTGCGCACAACAGACGCCCTAAGAGCAAACTGCCCTTTTTGTACCGCTGCCGTTAGCAAACCAAAGCACATGCTGTTTTCGGGGGGGACTTTACAGTTTAGGTTAGTATCCTCTTAACTCCAGCTATGCTGCTTGATTGCAAATAGATCACTTTTAAGACTTCTTCACTTGACTCTTTGGGTGCTGGAGAGAATTGAGGCCTTTTCTTGTTTGTGCTACGCATGACTTAGCAGCACAGTTTCATGACCACCTGCAAAGCAAGCTCGGCGGCCGTGCCGCTGGGGTATCGGGGGGCCGGGGCGGCCATGCACACAGAGTGATGCTCTCGGGGTGTCTCTCACCGGGAGGCAGCGCTGACTGCCAGGACCCAACATGCTTTCCCCATGTGATATGAATGCATGGTCCAGTTGTTCTTCTTCCAGCTCCAGCTCCATTTCAAGGAATAGTAAAGAAGAAAATAATAAAGAAAAAAAATTCAAAGCTGTTCCAGATGACTTGCTGCTTGTAAGATTCAAACTCCAAAAGCTTTGCCCAGACCTAGTGCTGTTAGTTCAGACACTGCAGCTTTGTTTCTGCTGGACAGATCAGTTACCTTTACCTCCCTCTCACTTCTTTACATCACCTGCTCTACTGAGTTTGCCCATTATGGAAAAAATTCCTACTTGCAGAGACTAAGGGAAAATCTGGCAGCAGCAGAGCGGGAGCTGCCTGAAATGACCTGAAGTTATGCCAGGATTTCTCCGGTGCCCGCCCTGCCCACGACACGGCACCGGTGGGTGTCAAGCCGTCGCTCAGAGCCACAGCGTCACGGCAGCTCTGGGTCTTGCAGTCATTTCAGCTCCAGTCTAGAGAAACTGCATCAGCCAAAAGTGCTCTCATCCGTAAGAGGGATTAAATCCTACTAAATCCCACAGATCTTGCAGTGTGAATATGACTTCATGTTCGGTGAGATGACGAGGTGCTATGATTAGCCAGGCTGTAGCCAAACCTTAAGATCACAATTAAACCACCGACGCCCTCTCCATCTCTAAAATGTGCCAGCAGGATCTGCTCACAGGATGCTTTAACCAAAAAAGCATCTAGCTAAATTCTCAAGTGAAATGAGTCCCAGTGGTTGTTTATTTTTTCTTGCAGCTCCCTGACGGGGTGGTGCTGAGCTACAGGCCAGTCATTTGTGTGTGGCTCCCAGCACCCAGCTAATTGCAGGCTCCTGGCTGGAGGCAGCTGCCCAGCCCGGCCGTGCAAGTTCACCGATGCTCAACAACGATGCAAAGCTGAACTGGGCACAGAACAAACGGGTTAGGAGAACAGCAAGGTTTGGAAAATGCATGCATGCATGCTGAGCAGATTTATTGCTTACCTTTGTGGCTTTCTAAAGCTCACAACATTCAGATGCTATTAATTTAAATGAACCATCACTGTTTAAAGTTTAAAAACCCCACACTCTATATTTTTGGCTTAGAACAACATATTCTATTACTTATACTAGTTACAGAAATGGCATTTTAATCCCTTTCCACATAGCCCATCAGAGGACAGGAACAGCCTTGTTGCACAAATCTTTCCATGGAAATGTGAATTTTTCAGAGGTTTTAGCACACATACCCTGTCTGGCCAAGCCACAGCTTGTAAGCAGTTCAGATGCTTAAGAGAGACATCCTCCCAAGTCCTTTCTAACACTTTCTTTCCTGGTGTATCCTTGGAGGATCTTATGGCTGGGGAGGGAGGAGAGGCAATTCTGTGCTTTAAGCACATACTTTGCAGAAGGGACCTCCCTCCTCCAACCTGGTCTACAGGGATAAGCTCACATGTCAGGTAGGCTTGGTGACCAGCTGCTTCTGGGCACATGTGCCCCAAAATGACAGAGAAGCTGTGAAACGTGGTGCTGGTTCCAGTATCTGGCCTTGCTGGTGCTACCTGGGGACAGCCCGGGCAGAGGAGGAGGTGAGGCTGCCCACAGCCAGCAGTGCATGGGGCCCCACGGTACCCAAAAAGAGAAACCACAGAGAAACACCTCTTTAAAAGCTTGCTTTTCTTTAGAATCATTTAAATATTTGTCAGGGTGTCTAAATCAAAAGCCTAAATGCACCAGGAGAAGGAAAAAAGTCTGTGCTCAAGAGAAGCCGTGCTTCCAGAATATGTTTCAGTTATTTGAAGTCCAAGTAGATTTTATTGGGTGAACGAGGTGCTGGCTTGAACTCGCAGTGACACTGCTCACGCTGTCTGTTGGCTCAACGTGTCCCACCGTGCCTGAAAAGCCAAACATGAAACCAGTGTGTCATGCAAACCAGTGAGTACACTGTTCTGTGACAAGGGTGGGTTTTCAGATACCTGCCTTCTGGGTCCCTGCTTATGCAGATCCCGCGTCTAACGGACACGACAGGGGAGCAGCACGCTGGCCACGTGTACTGAAGAGCTAACTGGTTGCAAAATCAAACTGCAGGTCAATGTTTCTCGCACCATTGGGTTTTGCAAAGGATATATTTGATTTGAGTCACATCCCTGCCTTTGCCTCCTCCTGCTCTGCCCAGCATGGCATCG